ACAAAATACTTCCTAGTAACCACCAACTTTTTTATTTTCTAAAAATTCTATGTTTCATGTGGGACCAGAAGCATTTTTGTAATGAGAGGTAATGTTGGAGGATAATTCTTAACTTAGTAACATGCCAGTTTTTTATTATTTTCATGTTTTCATAAAAATAATAAATACCAGAAAGCAAGATACCTTGCAGGGATCCAGAAAGGTGGCTGTTGGTAAGGTGGTGCCAATGATAGCACATTGCCAAGCTTTTTCTTGTTGGAAATAACTGTTGTAGAGCGGCGGAATAACTTGAGGTGAACACGGAGCGAACTTCAGCTTTTACTTTATTGTAACGCGGCTGCCACGCTAACAAGGCAGCCAGCTGGCGGACAACAGCTGATGCCGTTTGACAGCTCCCTTTTATAGCCGGCTGTCAAACGGCATTAGCCAATAGGAACGGTCCATGTTCCCACTGGAAACACGGACCGGAGTGAAGACTTCAGCTCAGTCTTTTCCGAACGCCACACTCCTTTCCCCAGAATGGAGCATGCGTAGTCCTTCAGATAACTCGGGCGCTTGCGCAGGCGGCCAGATCTTCTAGGTTCTGACAAAGCTGCTGCTGGAAGGAACTTTTCTGCTTGTTAGGCAACTTCTGGTGCCGACGAAGCTGGCGTCTCGGCTTCAGGCGTCTCTGGGCAAGGGACAGATGGCTGCTCAGGTAGGCTTGTGTTCCTGTCAGATTCGCGGGAAGTTTCTTCGGGCGCCAGCGGTTTCTCTGTTGCAGGAACGTCTTGAGGGCCATCTGCAGATGAACTCCAACGCCTTCTAAGTTGGTTGATATGGCAGCACCAGATGCACCCGTCTTGCAGTTGGACCCTGTAATACTTAGGACCAGTTACTGCCACAATCTGCCCAGGCATCCACAAAGGGTGTCCCGCATAATTCCGGGCACAGACCTGGTCATTTTCAGCGAACTCCCTTGCCTGGCTATTTGATCCCAGGGGCGTGACTGGGGCATAATATGGATGGAGTCTGTCTAAAGTAGTCCTCAGACGTCTACCCATGAGAAGTTCAGCCGGGGGCCTATTAGTGGTGGCACAGGGAGTCGTGTGCTGGGTTAGAAGATACTTAGCAAGCCTAGAGTGCCAATCTATGGGCCCAAGCCTTTCCAGGACCTCCTTAGCAGATCTGATTGCTCTTTCATCCAGGCCATTACTGGCAGGATGGAAAGGAGCTGTAAGTGTGTGCCTGATTCCCAGGTTAGCTAGGAAGACCTCAAACTCGCAGGAAGTAAACTGGGGGCCGTAATCAGACACAATAGTGTCAGGGAGGCCATGGGTAGAGAATATCCTTGATAGAGCCTTAGTGAAGGCTTCTGAAGTTGTGGTGGTCATCAAGGTCAGCTCTACCCATTTAGAAAAAGAATCAACCATCACCAGGAATGTACGCCCATGAAAGGGGCCAGCCAGATCAATATGCACCTGGGACCAAGGGATCCCAGAATCTTCCCACCTGCCTGGAGTGGATGTGGGTGGAGCAGGTCTGGTAACTTGGCATGGCTGACAAGCATTCACCCAACTTGTAATCTGAGCATCCATGCCCGGCCACCATACATAACTGTGAGCTAGGGCTTTCATTCTGACAATGTCGGGATGCCCTTCATGCAGGACCTTTAAAACTGAGGTTTGCAACTTGGAAGGGATAACTACCCTAGTTCCCCAAAGTAAACAGCCTTGCAAAGAAGACAGTTCTTGCTGGCGAGTTTTGAAAGGCACGAATTCGGGGGCATAAGGAGTTGCAGGCCACCCCTTTCCCACCCAGTCAAGGACTTGGGCGATTATCTTGTCCCGGGCAGAGTGGGCAGCGATATCAAGGGCGGTGATGGGAAGTTTGAGATCGTTGATCAGGAACACAGCATTAGTTGGTGCAGGATCCTCCACAGGAACAGGCAGGGGGCAGCGACTAAGAGCATCAGCGTGGCTGAGATTCTTGCCAGCTCGATGAACCAGTGTATAGGAATAGGCAGCCAGAAATAAAGTCCACCTGGTCATCCTTGGAGACAAAATCTGAGGAGTTTGTCTATCGCCTGACAGAAGGCCTAACAGAGGCTTGTGATCCGTAACCAACTTGAAATAGTGTCCATATAGAAACTCATGGAATTTTTTGACAGAAGCAACTGCAGTCAAAGCCTCCTTGTCAATTTGGCTGTAGCTGCACTTAGCTGGGGAAAAAGTTCTGGAGAAAAAGGCAATGGGTGCCTCAGAACCGTTAGGCAGTCTATGACTTAAAACAACACCTATGCCAAAAGGAGAAGCATCTGCTACTAAAACTAAAGGTAAATGCTCATTAAATTGGATCAGAACAGCATCAGATATGAGCAATGATTTGACTGCATGGAAAGCATGGGCTTCCTTAGATCCCCAGTGCCAGGGGGATTGCTTATCCAAGAGTCTGTGCAGAGGCTCTGCAATGGAAGCTTTATGTGGCAAAAATGAAGCGTAAAAGTTAAGAAGTCCTAAAAAGGCCTGGAGCTCAGTTTTGTTAGTTGGTGTGGGTGCCTCGTGAATAGCCCTTACTTTGGATTTGATTGGGTGAATACCAGAGGCGTCAATTCTGTATCCCAAAAATTCTACCTGTGGGGTGGCAATAGTGCACTTCTCTTTTTTTTAGCTTAAGACCATGCTTCCTGAAACGATCGAGTACTCCTCTGACTCTTTGCAGTAATTGAGACTTGTCAGGGGCAGATATTAAAATGTCATCAAAATACGGAATTACACCTGGTAATCCTTGAAGAAGTCTTTCCATTTAAGATTGGAAAATCCCTGGTGCCACACTTACGCCAAATTGGAGGCGCCTACATTTAAAAGCGCCCCTGTGCGTTACAATAGTTTGTAGTTCAGCAGCTGTGTCATCAACAGGGAACTGTTGATAGGCCTGTGACATGTCTAATTTCGCGAAAATGGTTCCTGGCTCAAAAGAATGTAGTAGGTGCTGGATAACAGGGACTGGATAAGCGCTGATTTGTAAATATTTATTCAATGACGTCTTGTAATCTGTGCAGAATCTTATGCTACCATCTTTCTTCAGGGGTGTCACTATTGGGGTTTCCCATTTTGTGAAGTCCACAGGCTCTAATACACCCTGTTTAATTAATTTGTCAAGCTCCATGTCTAATTTGGGGCGGATTGCAAAAGGTACCCTTCGAGGCTTTAAACGGATTGGTACTGCCTGATGGTCCAAGTTGAAAGATATTGGGGTTCCTGAATAACAGCCCAGCCCCTCGCTGAACACATCAGCACAGTCATTAAACAAGGTGTCCACTTCAGCATTTGTAATAGAGTGGATTCCGCTTATATGGAGGCCAAGGGCAGGGAACCAGTCTAACCCCAACAGGCTAGGGAGGGCACCATCCACTACCACTAAAGGCAAGTGACCTTTAAAATGTTGAAATTGAACAAAAAACTTGCCTTTTCCGATGACTGGGATGGTTCTGCCTTGGTAGTCACGTAGGGTTAACTGGCAGCCGTGAAGCTTCTTCTTAGCCATTCTGGGAAGTAGTTGTTTCAAGGTGCTCCATGAGATGGTGGACAGCACTGAGCCTGTGTCAACCTCCATCCTGCAAAGTTTCTCTTCTATAGAAACAAAAACACTGATTTTGTTAGAGCCTTTGTTAGTCGGCTTGACAGCAGGTAAAACAGTCTTCAACTTGTTTTTGGAAATGTTGGGTTGTCTGAGGCTTTTGGGCAAAAGTCTTTCCTGCTTGACAGATCCTGGCTAAATGACCCTTCCTCTGGCATTTTAGACAAATGGCATTCCTGAACTTGCAGGATGCCCTGAGGTGGTTTCCCCCACAGCTTAGACAAATGGGCTGAGACCGTGGAGGGGTTTGGCCTGTTCTTCCTTTGACTGGTTTTTTGCTGCCTGAGGTGATTTACATCATTAGCCTCTTCATAGCCTTCTTCTGTGGAGGCTTCATCATAATGGATGGCTGAGCTGCTCTGGCTAATTGGATTTCCCTGAATTTCTGCTGCTGAAAGTGCTGATAGTTCAGCAGCTTGAGACTCTTCAATTGCTAATTTAAGGGTTAAATCCCCTTTAGCCAATAGATTCCTTTGTAGCCTTAAATCCCTGACTCCACAAACTAGTTGGTCTAATAACATGTCTTCCAGATAGTCTCTAAACCCACAATGCAAGGCAGCTGTTCGTAGGGCAGCCATGTACCCACTAATAGTCTCTCCCTCAGCCTGAATCCATCTCCTAAAAGCATTACACCTGGCAATTCGGGATGGGTTAGGGGAATAGTGGTTGGAAAGAATTTCCTGCAATTCTTCCCATGGAACAGTCTTAATTGAACGTGGAGCCAATAATGCCATAGCAGTGTCAAACACAGTGGCTCTGCAAAAACTTAAAAAGTAGGACTTTTTCCTATGGTCGGAAATGTCAGCAAGATCTATGGCATCTAGGAAACAGTCAAATCGGTTTCTGTAGGATTCCCATGTTTCTGCTGTCGGTCTGAAAGGTGGGAATGCAGGGTTTGAAGTCATCTCAACTCAGCGGTGCCAGATCTTCCAAGGAAAGTTGAAATTCGCGCTCGTGAATAGTGACAGTAAGCTCTTAAAGTGACATTCAGCTCGGTAGTGACTTCGGCTCTTTTTTGTAGTGACTTCGCTTAGCGATTCTTTGCCTGGTTGCCTCTTATATGTATCCCGCCCTCGTCGCCAGTGTTGTAGAGCGGCGGAATAACCTGAGGCGAACACGGAGCGAACTTCAGCTTTTACTTTATTGTAACAATAAAGGGTTGCCGCGGCTGCTGCGCTAACAAGGCAGCCAGCTGGCGGACAACAGTTGATGCCATTTGACAGCTCCCTTTTATAGCCAGCTGTCAAACGGCATTAGCCAATAGGAACGGTCCGTGTTCCCACTGGAAACATGGACCGGAGTGAAGACTTCAGCTCAGTCTTTTCCGAATGCCACAATAACCATTCTCTAATTTCTTCTCATGTAGCTTCTAACATAACATCATGAGGATGCTGTTGTGGGGGATCTTGTCATTCTGCTTGCTGGCCTATGCCCACGGTGACTGCCGGAAGGACTGCCTGAACTGCCACAGACATCTGTACAGCCACCAAGATGACTTTAGTCTTCTGGTGAGTAATTCCAGCAATTATCTGTGCATACATGTTCATGTTCTGTATATGTCCTGCCTGTTGTGCAAGCTTTTTTTAAAAAATGCAGCTAGTTTGGTCTCAGTATACATCCCCTTCCTCCCCCCAAAGTCCCAAAGACTAGGGCTTCTTTCAAACATAGATATCATCCCGATAGCAAGGTAAGACAAATCTGCTCATCACTGACCAAATGACATTATAACTAGGTGCTTTCCACTGTGGTAATTCTGAAATATCCCTGTGTTCTATTCACCAACAAAAAAATGTTCCTTCAAATCAGCTTTGGCTCCTGGTGATTACATGAAGAAGTTCATGCAGTTTTCTTGACAAGATTTTGGAAATGGCTTGTCATTGCCTACTTCCTAGGACTACGAGAGCATTTGGGTCTCTCAGCTGCTTTGTGCCTATGGCAGGAATAGAACTCACAGTCTCCCAAATTCTAATCTGGTGCCTTCACCACTACAGCAAACTGGCTCTCATGTGGTCAACAAACCACAAAGACATCAAAATGGCAACAACTTGCAATATGACATTATCAGACAAGTTGAACATCTAACATAGATATGTAAGTCACCTTATTTGCATAAGGCCATCATCAGAGACTTTTCATTGATATCCTATCTTGTCCTCCCATCACCCTTGATTTTGGCTCTGGCATTTTTTGAGGTAAAGTTTTCCTGCATAATACCGTGTTTCTCACAAAATAAGGCCGGGCCTTATTTTTTTTTTTGACCCCCGAAAAAACGGCTAGCCTGTCTTTTCGGGGGTGACTTAATTTCCTCCCCCACCTAGAGCAGCCCATACGCATGTACCTCGCCGCGAGGCCGCTTCTATCGGCCGACGAAAGCTCCCTGAAGGCAGAGTCCCCAGCTGCTTCAGGGTGTGGTGTGGCTGCCCGTGTCCCCTTGTCTTTACGCAGTCTCTTTCGGGTGATGGAAGCTTCCCAAGTGCAATCACCAGCCACTTCAATCGGCTGGTAGAAGCGGCCTTGGGGCGAGCGCACACACACACTCCCCTCACCCTGAGGCCGCTTCTACCAGCTGATCGAAGTGGCTGGTGACTGCACTTGGGGAGCTTCCATCACCCGAAAGAGACTGCCTAATGGCCAGGGGACACGGGCAGCCACGCCTCGCCCTGAAGCAGCTGGGGACTCTGCCTTCGGGGAGCTTCTATTGGCTATCGGGGTATTCTAGCCTAGGCTACCTGCAGGGCACTCCTAAAGGCAAGTTCCCCCCCCCGCCCTTTCCCCCCCCATTTCTCTTCACCTCGTGTAGTTCGAACGAACGATGTAAGAAATGGCGGGGAAACGCATGGTTTAAATAGACCTAAATTTGGGGGGGCGGGACTTAATTTCACCTCATGCCTAGAAACCATGCTGGGCCTTCCTATTAGTGGAGGCCGTATTGTTGGAGAAACACGGTAGATGCAATTGGTGCAGGATGGCACTAAACAATTCATCAGAAAAGCTAAAAAAACTGTAACTTGTAACCTTCCTCCCTTGGTCCCTTTGCTTACACTCTTAACCTCACACCCTGCTTTTATTAATTTCCACCACAGATGTTCCCCACAACAAGGCTCCAGCTTATTGGGGAAGACATTGCTGGAGATGTAGGTAGAGCAGTGTAACTTCCCCAACAGCGTAAATAAAGGGATTTATCTAAATGCATATTTAATGCCCCACAGCCATTAACATTCTCCCAATAAGGTAAATCATTCAGTCATTCTCCTGTCTGGAAAGCTAAGCAGCTAGATGCATTTCTCTTTATTATATCTTTTTCCTCAATTGTGCAATGGCAGAAGTATTTTGGCAAAGGTATTTTCTTTTTCTGTTATTATAATCACTTTTTCTTTTTGATGATCATTGATTTCCATTTCCTGTTTTGCTTGTTTTGGCAATAGCAATAGCACTGAGATTTCATAGCACTTTACAGTCCTCTCTAAACGGTTTACAGAGTCAGCATATTGCCCCCAACAATATGGGTCCTCATTTTACTGATCTCAGAAGGAAGGAAGGCTGAGTCAACCTTGAGCCAGTCAGGGTCGAACTCCTGGCTGTGGGCAGAGTTAGCCTGCAACACAGCATTTTAACCACTGAGACATCACAGCTCATTAAATAGAGCTCAAAAGATGGATTTCATTTCAGAAATGGTTTTATTCACATCACCACCTGTGCTCCCTGTTGTATCATAAAATTTGATAAGCACTCCCTCCACTTCATCATCAAAGTTATAACCTGAAAGTTGAATCATGGCAACTGGACTTCTTGTTGAACAATAAAGGATCCATGCATAAAATCCTGTGGCATCTCATTCAATATATATTGACTTGTATTCCAGCAAGCCATAATTAATTAGGGTACTGGTGTACTTTGTGATTAAGAAGCATTTTATTAAATCCTTTGCTGAAATAAAGATATGTCTATAACATTGCCGCAATAAAATAGTGTGATCAAAAATGATATACACAAGTCAGGGATAATCTGGGAAGAAGTGAGGTTTTTCTACACTTCAGCCTTAAGTGCCTTGACCCTCATACCTAAACTAGTGGGAATGAAGCCATCTTCAATCATCCCTTTCCAGATTTCAACTACTTCCTCTCTTTTGCCTGCATGTTCGCCTGGTATTTAGTCTGGACTGTACTTTGGCAGATTCTCCTATCCTTATGTTCTCCCATCCATGCCAGGACAAAAAGTACCTATTGCCTTCTTTTCTGTGGACAAGTCCATGAGTACATAGTATATGTTCTCCATTAAAACTCCTTTTATATGACATCCATCTGTTGATTCCCCCTCATCATTGACAGCTTAGCATCTAGTACTGTGATGGAGAATAGCATGTCCCTGAGATACAGATGACCCAACCCTGTTGTTTTTCCCAAACTTAAAAGCTTTTTAGATTTTTTTTTCCACGCAGGTACTGGGTCTGACTTTAGAGTAAGCCCAATTAGTAAACAGTTTGAGTTGTTGAATATGTTGTATTTGACCTACGTTTGTGATATTTTATGTTTCGTTTTTATTTTCATTCTTAATCTTGTCTTAATCTTGTCTATGTTAGCCACCAAACCCATAATTTGAAAGATGAGTGGATGGGTGGACAGATAGACAGTCAGGCAGATATTGTGTGCCTTTAGCAAGTGGCTTGAGATATGACAACCACGATTGTTCTTTCAGTTCATTACTTGTGGTTCAGGATAACATAAGTAAGATGTAAGAATGTTGTCGTTAATGCTGTTCTCAACATTAGGAAATGTAACCTTTCATCTGTAACTTCAATTGCTAATTTTCTATCTACTGACATGGCTGGGCAGTTTAAGAGTCAGAACGAATAAATGAATAATACTGGCTAACTAGACCAGTCTCCATCCTGCTGGCACTGGAACCTCTGTATCATTAGAAAATGCAATTGACAGATCATTAATATTCATTTGAATAGCCTTTCTGCTCTGTGCCATGACGCATGGACTCCTCATTATACAGCAATAACAAATTTCCATAATTGGCTCCACCTTGAGTCAACTTCCAAGGGCACTGCAAAAGGAACAGACCTTTTGCAAGCTGTCCCCAAGAGAGTAAAGACACCAGGACCATGTTAGATGAGGTGGAAACACCTGGTTTTTCTTGATTTGGGTATAGATAATGATCAGTAGATTACCGGAGCCAAACAGATCTTAAGGCAGTTTCATACAGGCTCTCTGAAAGCCTACCAGCAACAAGAGGTTTTTTCCTAGGTAACCTAGAAAATGCTATTGTTTCAATTTCACTTTCTTCAAACAGATAATCAGAGTTGGAAGGGACCTTGTAAGTCATCTAGTCCAACCCCGCCCAAGTGGGAGACCCTATGCCATTTCTGACAGATGGCAGTCCAATCTCTTCTTGAAAGACTCAAGTGATGGCACTCCCACAACTTCCGAGGGCAAGCTGTTCCATTGGTTGATTGTTCTCACTGTCAGAAAGTTTCTCCTTATTTCCAGGTTAAATCTCTCCCTGTTCAGTTTCCATCCATTATTCCTTGTCTGGCCTTCAGGTGCTTTAGAAAATAGCTTGACCCCAATCATGACTTCTATTCAACCTTTTGGTGCTTGGTGTCCACAAGAAAACCTTGGAAGATGAAGACTATACTGGTTGGGATGAGGCCGACACTGACAAGGTTTTTTTGGTTGGTTTAGTTTTTTGGGGGGGAGGAGGGGAAGTAAAATGAATTATTTGCTTTTAGATTGCCCACAACTACAGGTCAACTTAAAGTAGGGGAGGGCAAAGATGCAAGCAAATCTTGCTAATTCCCAAAATATTTGTTCCCTTTTGTAAAATCATTTACTATATGACCATAGAGGCCAGAGTCCAAAAGGTGCTTTTTCCAAAAGGCAGCTAGAGTTTCTTGGTTTTTTTTTGTTTGTTTGTTTGAAAATGTTTTGCTTTTCATTTAAACCTGTTCAAAAGGTGCTTTCTTTCAAAAGGCAACTGGTTCTGAGTGAATGGTAGAGAACTGAAGAAGCTTCTTAGATGAGAAGCGAAACATCTTCAAGCAAAAAGAAAGAAAGAAAGCCCAGTTGCTTTTGAAATGAAGCACCTTTGGGACAGTCATGACCTGGATGACCAAGAATCTCCATAGACATTCTCTTCTAAGAAGCTTCTTCTAACTGAGACAAGGATTACACCACACTCTAAACACTGTTATAGTCACAAAGCATGCTATGCCCACACAAATAATCTGTATTATAGCTTAAAATGAAATCTCAGAATTGATTTCCCCATGCCGCACCTATTGATTGCTCCCCCTCACCCAGGGATGGGATTCAATTTTTTATACAACCGGTTCTGTGGCCATGGCTTAATTGGTGGGCGTGGCTTGCTGATCATGTGACTGGGTGGGGATGGCCAACTCGACGTCACTCACATCAAGGGGTGCTTCTCCTCGCCTGGCCTCTCATGACAGTGGGAATGCTGCAATGGTTGTAAGTGTGAAAAATGGTCATAAGTCACTTTTTTCAGTGCCATTGTTACTTTGAATAGTCACCAGTTTTAGACCAAAACTCAAAAAGGGTATATAAACTCACGTTTGAATGTCAATCTTTCTAGCTAGCCAAAAAGCCTTGCTGAATGCCACTCATCTTGGTTCCTTGTCCTTAAAAGCTTCTTTCTGGCAGCTCTGCTTCATTATTCAGTTATTTCTTCAAAGTGCTAACTCCAACAGGGGAGTATTTCCTCCCAACAGCAGTGTAAAAAGCTTAAAACAATCCTTCCCCTTTAAGAAAGTACCAGCAAAGAAAAAAACTCCTTTGGAGACAGTAAGTCTAGGCATACTACCAAGAATGCAAGAAGGGTGGAAAAAAACAAAAGATTTCTTCCAATAACCGGTTCTCCGAACTGCTTAGAAAGTTAACAACTGGTTCTAGCGAATAGGTAAGAATCCCACCCCTGCCCTCATCTCATTCCACATTCACCAGAGAGCAGTGATGGTATTTACCGGTTCGGCCCAGTTCTGCCAAGCCAGTAGCGCTGATGAGCAGCAGAGGTTCTCTCTGCCACTCTGCTGTGGGGCCCACCCGCCTGCCCAGGCTCCCATATTTACCTTTATCTCCTGCTTTCGAAACGCAGCTGCTTTGTGCGGCACAGCTGAAGCAACAGGGAGAGTGCAGGCTTGCAGGAGGTGAGTTGGAACGCCTCTGCGCCTGCGCAAACACGCCTGTGCGAAGTGTGCATTTGGCGCACGCATGCAAAGCATGCCCAAGCCATGCCCGCCGAACTGGTAGTAAAAATCTTTGAAATCCCACCACTGCCGGAGGGGTGTCAAACGGGCAGCCTGTGGGCCAGATGTCTCACATATAGGCCATGCCCACCCCAGCTCCGCAAATGGGAAAAACACGAAAACGTCATGTGACGCCGCAAATTTGTCACCCATGATAATCATATAGAGGGGAGTGGGCTGAAATGAAAGGATAGGGATCTCTCCATCTCACAACCCTTATAACAATTGGACTGCTGTGTAGTGCTCTTCTGGAAGAACCCTACATCCTACAAGAACATCCTAGTTATTCTGTGTATGTAACATTGGGGCATGGCATAAGGCAGGATAAAGAGTTCCCAGGATGGACATAGGTATAATTGACATAGGTTGTGAACAGGGATGGGATCCGACTGGTATAACTACCGGTTCTGTCGCTCTGCGTCGTGCATGCATGCGAGAGTCGCGCGAGTGCAATTTACGACCTGCTGAGCTGTCCGGACTGCTAAGCAGCACTGCGTGCAAGTGCGCAGCGGTTGGAAAAGCCCTTTTTTCTTGCTTTTTCAACCGCAGCTGTGTTGCACAAAGCAGCTGCAGTTGAAAAAGCAGGAAATAAAGGTCAGGTAAGAGCCCAGGCGGGCGGGTGGGCCAAAACAGCAGCAGACATAGAACCGGTTCTATGTATGCTCTCTGTCTGCTGCTCTTCAGAGCTACCGGTTCTACAGGGGTGGACAGAACCGGTAGAATCCCACCCCTGGTTGTGAATGAAGAGCTTGAAATCCTGAAGACACTTGCAAATGATGATTTTTGTGCTGGTTTAAAAGCAGCTTCTAATTTCTGTCCCTACATGATGACAACAGAATGGTTGAAAACATTGCAAGCTTCCACAAGGCTTTGCAATGTTTTCCTCTTTTAAAAGGAACTGTTACCCACCTCCCATTCCTAACAAGACCTTTAAGGGGAATTCATGGCTTGATAATTTCAACCCTTCAGTAGTCCTGATGAAATAAAATGGGTGAGGTTGACAGATTGGTCAGTTTCCTCCTTTTCTTTGACAAAGGACCAGTAATTACAAAGGGCTAGGTTGCTCTTCTTGTTCTTTCCCTTTTTATAAATCTCTTTTTCTCTTTTTCCAATCCTTTATCTGAGGCAGCTCAGGTTCAAGAAGTGGTCGTCATTCCACCTTGTTTGACTTCAAGAAGTAATGACAATTGCTGATAATTTTCAACTCTATCTGAGAGATCACCAAGTGAAAAAGATCACGATGCACAAATGCCCTCAATTATTGACATTCACTCAAGTGGTGACACTTACTAGATACTCCATATCCCAGTTCAAAAATAAGGCCTGTTATTTCTCAGAATGATGACAGAGAAGACCTTTTCTGACTCTAACAATATTGTTGGAGCATCTTCTCACTACAGAGCAAATTTATCACAAATAGCCATTTAAAGAGGTTGTTAGTATCTAACGGAAAGCAATTATGAGATGGCAACCAGGGCTGACACTTCCCTTTCATTCAAAGGGAATTGAATTCACAGTAGGAGATTATTAAAAGCTAAGTGTGATCAACCCCACTTTCTTTTTTCATGCCCAGATTGCTAAACCTTTACAATCATGCTAGTATTTCTAAAAGCAATTGTTTTCTCTGTTAGCAGTTGGGTTAGCTGCCTTTTAACAGTACACAAGCTATTGTTTCCATCATGTTATGGAGTTGTTGGTTTTTTTGATACATCTACAGACATGAGTTTAGACAAATAGTCTATCCAGAGTGGCAGAAAATCCTGGGATTTGATTTGATGCACTCATTAATAAGAATACTTGTAGTATTTTTACATAACTTTGTTAAAAGTCCTTGTGAAGTTGGTGATATATACATAATGAATATAAGTAAATTTATCTTTAAAAATAACAATGCAAAATCTATCATTTGACAATACAGTTTTTGAACATACATGCTTCTGAATTCTCTAGAATTCTTTATTGGGCAAAGTGGTACAAAGACCAGAAGCCCTGTTTTTGTTTTAGAGAGGTAATAAGCATTTCAGGTATTAATTTTTATGTTTGAATCCTTGGAGAACCAGTAACAAAGAAAATACATTTTTCCTTGCAGAGTCTAATGAAGAGTAGTTGAGGGGGGGGGGGGGGGGGTTGATTCAAAAGAAAGAAAGAAAGAAAGTACAAGAAATATTCTCCAATCCATAGCCAGGACCAGGTACAATCAGTATTTAACAATGTTTTATAGGAGAACACACTTGAACATTGGCTTCTAATGGCTGAAAAGTTACCATGGTTTAGTTTTTCAAGATATTTCCTTAGCAAATCAATGCCGTCAGTGACAAGTAGAGTCAACCATCTCATCATTCCCCTGAATTAAATATTTCATCTCTTCAAACTTTTAAGGAAAAAAAAAACTATTTAATTCAAATTAGACAGGCTGACATCCTGCATATATTTGACAGAGCAGTGGTGGCTCAGTGGTTAGCTGACTCTGTCCACTGCCAGGAATTCAATCCTGACCAGCTCAAGGTTGGCTTATCCTTCCGAAGTCAGTAAAATGAAGACCCAGATGCTGGGGGAAATATGCTGACTCTGTAAACTGCTTAGAGAGGGCAGTAAAGCACTATGAAGTGATATAAATGCAACATTATTGCTATTGCTGGACTGCAGTTTCCACAACCCCATAAGACTGGGCACATGGCTAGATTTGAAAATTCTTGAAGGCACCCTGGGGTGGCTATTCTTATCAATAATTACCACCAGAGAACAGACTCCTAATTTCTGACAGATCTGGTGATTCAACAGCAACACAGCCTGAGCATCTGGCTTCTGAGAACTCTGCATATAGATCTTCTTCTCCATGATTAAATCCACAGAAGAATGAGCAGGATTAAGCAAAAAACAATAATTTCAACAGACTGAATCAAAAAAAGAAACCCAAAAGCTGTAGTATATTCAAAGATTGATGGCATTTGCTTACCAAGTCCTAGGAAACAATTGAACAATTCCATTTTGAATGCAACTTCTGATCAGTCTTCATTGGCCACTATTTAGGAGACTGATTTGAAATTATCTACTACTACTACTATTAGATTATCACTATCTGTCATATTATATGTAAAAATTCTTGATGAATTCACTGCAAAGACCAAACCCAAACAGATGTCTTGGCTTCTGAATTAGTCTATAAACCTGTAGGATTTAAAGAAAGCCATAAAGAATATCCAGGAAAGAAAATCAGAAGGAATATAACATATTTTAATTGTCCTCTCTATTGCAGCCATGGATTCTGAAAGTCACTCTTTGTAAATTAAGCTATATGTCTAACAAAAAGCAGAAACAGGATTACTTTAAAACATAAATTACTATAATATATCTCTTTAACTTTCTTCAGCAAAGTGTCAACTTCGAACTGAACCGGGCCACAGCCATCTTTCTGTTCCTCAGTTGCCACACAGAGGGGGAAGGGGGGAAAGAGGTTGGAATTCATTACTAGACACAACAAAGAGTTTTCTCATGAGAACAAAGATCATCTCTACTGGCAACATATAAGGTTGGGGAAGAAGTGCCTGAAGAGCCCGCCAATTAACCCAATTGGCCAATGTGACCTGTGACACTTGAGGAAACTAAGTTATTTCCTAGTTTACTTATACTGAAACAGCGGCAAAGATTTAGATTTGCTTTTCCTTTGAAGCTGTGCTGATATGATGTACTCATTAAAGAGGACCTTTGAGAAGGAGCCAAAGTCTGAGAGTTCTGATTTGCTTGAGTTCTTTAGTCGGAGCGTGACACAAAGATTATGATTTGTACCTTTCCTTACATTCAAAAAGTGAGGCATATTACTAACTGTCCTTGTTTCCTCCCTACAGATCTGTGTAATGGAGTGTGAAGGGAAACTGTTTTCCAGTGCTACCTGGGGACTTTGCAATAAAGCCATCAGTGGAAAAAGTTCTTTGTCCCTAGACCATAGTAGCCTGGAAGAAATGAAATGGCCATTGGAGATGTGGGATGGCAGCCTGAAAGGAGCCAGAAGTAACCTGAAACATCATGGTGACCTGACCAGAATGGTGGATCTCAGCGATGGGGAAGATAAGCAAGTGTCCAACTTGTTCATCCGTCAGCCAAAGGCAGAAGATGACACTAGTGATGGAAGCCAAACTCCACTTGGGGATTTACATGATCAGCTCAAGATTCCCAAGAGGGTGGGTGATTTCCTGAGGGGCCCATTCAACTATGGGCAGATGGAAGAACCTGAGGTGCAAGAGCTCCAAAAACGATTTGGAGGCTTCATTGGTGTTCGAAAATCAGCCCGGAAGTGGCACAACCAGAAAAGGTTCAGTGAATTCCTGAAGCAGTATCTGGGGATGTCCCCACGTTCCGTTGAGTACGATGGCTTGGCTGATGACCTGAAGGAACAGAATGAGATTTAAACAAATGGACTTTTCCTGGATTGTTGTCGTTGTTGTCGTTGTTGTTTCCTTCTCAGATTATAAACATGTAGTGAATTGATTTCAGAGCTGCCATGGCCAAAGAAGCCAACCCCATTCGTACTATTCCGCTTTGTCAGTGATCAGCCAACCAATATTAGCATCGGAAGGGAAGTCTATTTTCTTTGAAATAAAATTCAGAATCACTTTGTGTAATAATATTTCACAATTTTTACATTTGTATGAATAAAATTTAAAAAAATCTACATTTAGTATGGTTAACACGCTAGAGAGCAGGTAATGATAACTCTTTCCTTCTGTTCTATGACCTTTCTATGTTTAGGGAAAAAAATCATTTTCATCAGGGAAGTGGGCTTTCAAAAAAAAATAAAAGGGAGCCTTCATTCTCACCAGCAATTTCCATGAATCCAATTCAGAATCCTACCAGCCTGTTCCTTAGAAAGAAGGCCAAGTTTTGCTTCTTTGCATTTGTCCTTGGGGTGTTTTTCACCACTTAGGAAAACTGGTTATGAAACCAGATTCTAACTCCTGGTTTAAGACTTCAGAGTTTTTTTTAGAACTGAGATTTACCTATAATAAAAAAACCGACAATCCCTGATATGTTTCCCAGTGGGGTTGACATCTTTGATATGGCAGTGCGATGGTATTTGTGGATCTTTATTACCAGTTTCCCATTTTCTTTCTCTCTCCATGGCATGTATTTTGTCAAGCCTGCTGTCTCCATGCTGTCATTTTTCAAAGATGTGTTTTATTAATTGCCAGAACCAGGAGCAAGTGAATTCCTCTTCACTGCTGCCTGCTAACAATTTTCAGATAAGACGCATGATCGATAAAGAAATGATGTAGCTGGCTTGGGTACTTTTCCTCTGTTAATTATTGAATGTTAAATATCTAAAAAGGGAAACAAATTCTGTCCTTTTGATTTCAGGCATAAAGATTTCTCCATTAAACTTGTACATAGCAAAAAGAAAAAGAAAAGATTAATAAATTAGTTTTCTATTTCTACTGTAGCACTGTGATCGACACACGTTCAGTGGCTAATGCTTTCTCATCACCACTTATAGCTCCACTTGCACAACTTATAAACATACACATCTAATGCTAAAATCCAGGCCATATTTAAACTGCAAAAAAATCTGGAGGACCACTAGATGGTAGCAAAGAAAAAGGAAACTATTTGGAAGCCATCTAGGTTATTGTAGCCCATAACTTTAAAAAAAAAACTTAACTTGATGCTCACCAGATGCATTGAACTTCCAATATCCTACCTAGCAGAATGATGCTAATTAGGAATTCAGTGAGAAGTAGCCTTGCATGTTTGAGGTCAACAGTTTGTGGAAAGTTGCCAGAAACCCCTTTCACAGGTAGCACCCCTTTGAGGTCCAGCTCCCCATCATTTCTGAACAAAATCAATTTTCAAGCCAACAAATTAAGCCTTACATCCGAGAGGCTGTCATTCTTGCTTGGTAATTTATTCTTCTTTTTCCTGGTTCATTGCCACCCTTGGGATCCTATCAATGATAAAGGTTTGATTTCACCAGGAGCAGCTCTACTTCTGTATCATTATATGTGCAGGTAGAATGAATTTTTGTTAGTTCTTTAAAGTAGTCCAGACAAGAAGCACAACAATGAAAGTCTCTACTTTTTTTTTTTTTTTTTCAAGGTTGTGTTAACAGAATCCTGCAAACTTGAATGTGTCACTCCCATCCCTTCCTTTCCCTCTCCAAAAACTAGGGAGAGTCTCTTCTGAGACATATTCTCCACCCTCCTAACATCACCCTACCCCTCAAAATCCATTTATGGTTGTCTAGGGCTAGGCTGTAGCTCTTTTTCCTGGCTCCCAGGGTCATTCCTACATACCATTACATTTCCTGTTCAATTTTGTCTTCAATTATGGTGTTTATTTACAAAGTAAATTGTCTGAGGTAAACCCATTTGCTAATGCAAATACGTATCATTGTGTAAGTGTTTCTTTAAAGACAGGTTCATATTAAGATACTTCAATCCTCTGCTCTTTTCTGAGCTTTTACTTTAATATTCCATTATTATCTCTTTCTTTTGTTTATAGGTATATCCCAACTTTTTCATTGCCAAATCCATCCTTCCTCCCACTCTCCCAACATATGCAGCTGCATCTGACAATACATATTAATGTGGAACTTAATATCTTCTGAGTCAAACTCAACATTCTAACTCTATCTTCACAACTTGCCTACAGTGGCTAATAAGGGAGCTAGGACATTGTAGAAATACTAAGAATGGATCAGTTAACCTAGACAATTAATTCCCAAGGATTAGATATTGTAGGAGGAAGTATTAGCCCATGGTGACAAAAAAAAAAAAAACCTCAGGAGTTTGGTAGCATCTTTTCCAGCTAACAAAAGCTTATGTCTTTTAATAAAATGTGTTAGTTTAAAAAGAGGCTACAAAATTTCTCCCATGGATTAAAGTTAACTCAAAGCAAGTTGAGTTACCACCATTCGTTGATTGTCTTATGGCACTCAAGTCAAGTGAGAACTTTGTGCATCCCAAATGATGATTTTTGACTCTGTTAAAATAATTATGTACTAAAATACAGAGATTTGACTGATTTTGTGCTGACTGGCATGCTATGGGAATAGGACACCTGCATATAATTGGTTGCAATACAGTTATTACAATCAATTGAAAATTATGTTACTTCTCTGGAGTTCACTACAGACTATTATAGTTAATAAGATTGTCATATGAAGTAGGCATGGCTAGGAGTGTATTTTCAAAGGTGGAAGGAGTTTGGTTTATTTTAAATTATATGCATTGAAATTTATTACCCAAATAGATATTTTGTAACCCACTGTTGCTGAATTAAAGCTGCAGTATTTTTTTATTATTGGGAATGTTCACTAGGGATGTTGGGAGCTGTAATTCAATAATATTTGGTATCTGGATAGCTACAGTTCTCCCTACTTACATTTGCAATTATACAAAACAAACATTGAGGGAATTTAGTCAAGGAATCAGGTAATTCTAGTTCTCAAACAGTTTGACTAGGTTTATACAACCTGCTAGATTAGATTAAAATGGAGTTGGTTAAATTGAGCTAGTCATCCATTATCTTCACATATTGTGTGAATCATATCAAGTTATAATATAGCTTAATTTTTTTGGAGGTAGCACATTATATGAATGCAGCTGTTTGGCTTCTGCTCTGCAGCTAAATCTTTCCAAAAGCAATAATGCATTCTTGTGGCTCTCCTTGTTTCTAGCCAGCTGAAGAATTTGGGCTCATATTTTAAATTAACTGAATAAGGAAGAAACCTCATGGAACACAGTGGGGCCTACTTCCAAGTATGAATGGGCTAAATTGTACCAGGCAGTTTTTTTCCACCGTCTGCTATGTCATGTTAAGGTAGCCTTAAGTAAAACTGAACCTTTGTAGGCGCCATCCAGGCAGTTTTCTTGTGCTCTTCTGGGTTGCTTATACAGAAAACTGCAAACAAAACAAAGCCTGTTTCTTTTTAGCTCCCATTTTCCCAACTAAGTCATGTAACATATCCAGGAGTCATTAAGTATTGCTTTCAGATAGCTAAGCCTTCCAAACCCTGTAGATATACTCGTCTTCTCCCATTTGACATTCTAACACAGTACATTGTTCTTAAAATGACAATATAGAACTTCAGTAACTCAGAATGCTTGTCTATGAATTGGGTGGGAATTTCAAAAGTCATCAACCATATCTCTAGAGGACACCAAGTGGAAAGGATGATACCAGAGAGACTATTTGGTCTCATTGTGTTAAGATCTAATTTGCACAACAAAAGAATCTCTCTATAACAGTATAATAAGGTTATTTTAAAAATCCAGAAACTAGCAGGCAGATAGCAGAAATAGTGATATAGTGTGATGATTGCAAACATGAACCAAATATCCCCCCCCACTCTCTCTCTCTCTCTCTCTCTCTCACACACACACAAAACACACACAGAGAGAGGGTATATCCCATCAAGTTACCTGGGCCAGATAATCTTTCCACGATCATACACTATATTCTGTGTTGCAATACATTGCAAACATCCTTTTTTTCAACTCTTGGGTTTTGGAGAAAGGATTATATCCATCCCAAAGGAAATGGTCTATTATAAATGTCAAAAAAAGGACAAACCAAGATTAAAAACTCAACTATAAAGAGTTGGCAAATGTTGTCCTCTTCACAGACATTTATTAGAAGTTATCTCCTGCAGGCAGACATGGTGGGATAATAGCAAGATGAGTTAATCATAACATTTTCTTTTAGTCAATTCTTAAAATGGTGGCTTATTGGAATCTGGTGGCAGTCATATCATCTACCCAGAGATGTAGAAGATAGTCCACTCCAGAGGTGGTATTCAGCAGTTTCTGTCCAGTTTTGGAGAACCAGTAGCAGAAATTTTGGGTAGTTCAGAGAGCCAGCAAATACCACCTCTGACTGGAGATTTTACAGTATCCTTCCCCTGCCACGCCCACCAAGCCATGACCACAGAACCAGTAGTAAAAAAAATTGAATCCTACTACTGGTCCACTCCAAGGAAAGGAAGTTTGATGCTGGATAGAGCCATATTCCTTTTAGCATGGAATCAACAGACCCAACAGTCTAGAACTTAGGTCAGAAGAACAAATGAGTAGCTGATATACAAGCTATCAGGTTTTCATTTATTTGTCCACTTATGAGAGAGATTAATATTATGTTCTACCTTATGTTAATGACATTTTGGTTTCATCCACAGCAGAATGTTTTATCAGGGTTTTTATCTTCCTCAAAAGGTGTACAATCCCATCCTTCAGGGAGGGGGGATTCTATTGTTTTCCTCCTCATACTTGTTTTTGCTTGTTTTCACACAGGATACATTGCATTTCTTTGGGTATGGCACTGAATGAAAGAGGGGAAGGGCTCTGATACACAATTGGTGGAGCCTTCTATAGTCCAGTTCAGGATCAGATGGAGATAGGAGGAGCAGGTATCAAGA